AACAATATGTCTTGGAATCTTTCTATATAATTTAATATTGTGTGTCTTCATTCTTGTTTTACAGCTGTATAATATTCCATTTTGTGTATATATTATAGTATACCAACAAATATTCGTGGTTGATGCCTACCCAATAAATACTTTTTTAAACTCTTAATGTAAAAATATTTAATTAAAAAACTTAGTTTTCCTACACTAGTAATACGTGACTGAATCTATGTAAAAATTCAATCTATAAGCAGGTATCTTGACTGTTTTCAATCCTTCTCCCCTCTCTAGAGCTAACTTTTGTTATCAGTTTGGTGTTTTATATCTGCTTCTTACTGGCTGGTTTGAAATGTGACTCCCAGCTGCAAGTGTGAGCTCTCAGCTAGTTTGGAAACTAGAGTCTTATCAATGTCCATTAGTTATAGCCATTGCTGTTGAAGCTGGAAATTCTCTCTTCTTTTCTGCCTATGCAGATTCTGTTCACATCTCCTCTTTTGTTAACCATACCTTATCTTTTCCCCCTTATGGTTGTCCACATATTTAAGCTGAACTACTAAAATAACTATTTTTTGTAGGTAAAAAGCAGTTATCAGCAATTTTTTTTTTTTTAATTCAGCCTAATAGTTTTAAAGCTTTATTGGTTCATGTGTCTAGTGCTCCTCAGAGAGTTCATACATCTTTATAATCCCTTCTAAGACCTAGAATTGACTGACTAGACCGAAGGTACTTAATAAAGTCCTGTTCACTGATGAAGCTGAGCTGTCTTTAAGATGGATAGCAATTGTGATGCATCAAGTCTTAACCAAGTTGATTTAAAAAATAATCTTTGCTGCCTCCCTCTTCTCTGCAGTGCAATTAGATTCTCCTTCCCCTGGGGAGAGGAGACCCTGAGTTAAGCACTTGACTTCTAATGGAAAGGTTACTGGTTGGAACCCAACCAGAGGTGTCTTGAGAGAAAAGCCTGGTGATCTGCTTCCAAAAGGTCACAGCCTTAAAAATCTTATGGAGCACAATTCTACTCTGCAACATATGGAGTTGCCATGAGTTGAGATCGATTCAGTAGCATCACTCATGCAAGTGAGAAGGCCGCCTCCTTCTTTGAAAATCTTGCTTACTGTTGATTGAGTATCCTAGAGAGGTTTATTTTGGTCTGCAGATAGTGGGATTTCTGTGGCCAGTTTTTTGAGCAAGGGCGCTTTAGGCAGAGGTCCTGCAGAGTTTGAGTGTGTTCAGTGGAGTGGTTGGCTGAGGAATTTGGAGTTCATTGCATGGATCTGGACTTCCCAGACTTTTAGAGGGCACTGACCAGTACAATTTATAAGAACTTGGGGTTTGCCCTGAGGTTGCTAACTTTTTATTTTGCCAAGTAAGAATACTTAAATATCTAATCATATACTTTTATAGTTAATACATGCTCATGGTACAACATTCAAAACATACAAAGGATATACATTGAATTAAATAAGTCTCATACTTCCTCTCCAGTTCCCTAACTATCCAGTTCCCCTCCCAAGAGGCAAACCGGGTTGCTTGATCATCCTTCCAGAGATAGCCCTCGAATTTACAAACAGGTATGAATGTGTTGGTTTTCTCCCCTCCCCCACATAGATGGTAGTGCATTCAAATATCGTTCTGTATCTTGGGATTTCCCCCAATCTTACCTTAGCATCTCTTTGTGTTAGTACTTAGCTGCATTCTTTTTAATGGCTGCATAATATTAGCAAGGGTATTAAAAACAAATATTACCGTCATTTAAAAAAATTTTTAAAAGTATATTTAAACACCAAAAAGTTAGAAAAAATATGATTTCAGTGTAAAGAATGGCTCTGTAAATTAAATAGCACTGTTAAAAAATGAATTCCCTGAATTGGTCCAAAGAACTGTTTGAAAACTATTGCTAGTGATAGTTAACTATCAAAGAAAGGACAGATTGTGATATTTTAAGGTTATTTACCAGCCTCTCATGAGCTGAATGAATGAGATGACAAGAGGTATATAATTGAGGTATTTACGTCCTTCACTTCATTTTAAGGTGCTCCGGTAGTACAGTGCCTAAGGCATCTGACTGCTAACCAGAAGATTGGTGGTTCAAACCCATCAGCTGCTCCATGGAAGCAAGCCTGAATAAATAGTGGTGTATTACTTCTGTAAAGATTTACCACCTCAGAAACCCAGTGGGGGTCACTATGAGTTAGAATCGACTCATTCAGTGGGTTTGGTTTTTTGGTTTCACTCCATTTTATAGAGATGAATGGATTTAGAGAATCCTTTCTTGTCTTCTATAATTGTACTAATCAGTTAATCAGATCACATAATTAGCCATCTGCTGTCAAGATACTTTTTTATTTTTAGCGGCTGTATGTCAGTTGGATTGGAGCAGGGAGACTAATTTCAGGGTTGTTTATTCTGTTGATAGTTTTTGAGCAATTACTGTATTCTTAACACTATGAGAAATTTTGAAGAGCATAACCTGTTATGAGGAATGCCCACCTGAAGTGATGGGGCCTGAACTTGGGATGACTGCAGTTGGAGAGGGTGGTTAGAATCTGAGAGCCTTGAATTGAAGAATTGACAGGACATGTGACCTTTGGGAAAAATAGGGATGGCAGAATTCATTTGCTGAACATTTATTGAGTGCCTGGTATGTACAATGTACTGTGATAGGTCAATGACAAGCTAACTACCTTAGAGAATAATAGTGTAGGATTGAGGAGGACACAGTATACAGAAACAAGAAAGCTGGTCTGTTCGTTTAGGTATCACGTATTTATTAGGGCAACACCGTATTAGGTGTTGAAGAAGCTCTGGTGGCATAGTGAGTAGGTCATTTGGCTACTAACCAGAAAGTCAGTAGTTCAAACCCACTGGCTGCTCTGTGGGAGGAAGATGGGTCAATCTGCTTCTGTAAAAATTTACAGCCTTGGAACCTGATGGGGGTCACTATGAGTCAGAATTGACTCAGTGGCAGTTAGGTTTTTTTTTTTTTTTTTTTTTTTTGGTACTGGGTGTTGGATGCAAGAAAGGAAAGAAATGGTGCAAAACCAAATTGAAAGGAGAAAATATGGGTTGAACCCAAATTTTCTCAAATCAGCATAGTAATCTGATTAATACAGTTGTATTTAAGAGAATAATTGCATATGGTGTTATTTTTTAAAAAACTTTTAAATTTATTTTTGGAATGAGCAATGTATTTACATGGCTGAAAAAAAAAAATTTAAAAGGTATACTGAAAAGTGTGTGGAGTGTGTATACAACCCCACCCCCACCCCCCCAGCAAATAGCCAAGTCTCTACTTGTATGAGTCAGCTTTTAGTGCTGGAAAGAGAAACTACTCTGGGTATTTTAAGCACAAATAGACTTAATATAGAGAATTATATTACTTAAAAATTGTTTGAAGAGCTGAAGGAGTAGGATTCAGGAGGCTGTCCTTAGATTGTCGATTTGAAGGGCTTGCTGTTGGAGCTATGATCTAGAGGTCAGGAAGTCAGTACTGTTACTGTTACTGCACTGCTGCTGCTTGACGTGCATGAAGCTAATGATTAGACATTAAATCTTTGATATTGTAGACCAGGAGTATCAACATCAGCATCACCTGGGGCCTTGTTATAAACACTGGCCAATTTTTTGAGTAAGGGAGAAGCTTTAGGCTAACTAGGGGTGAAGAGTTAGAAGCTCTGGTAGCATAGTGTCTAAGGCACTTGACTGCTAACCAGAGGCTGGCGGTTCAAACCCACCAGCCACTCCTCGGAAGGAAGATGGGGCAATCTACTTACGTAGTGATACTGCCTGGAAACCCAAGGAAGGGTTGCTATGAGTTGGGTCCAATTTGATGGCACATAACAACAACAGGGGTGAAGACTTAGCTTGCCCTACTTAATCAGAATCTGTTTTTTATCAAGATTCCCTGGTAATTTGCAACTACATGAAAGTCTGAGAGGTCCTGCATTGGAGCACAGAATCTGGTCACTTCACTAGCCTCCCAGCCCCTGGGGCTTCTTGACCTTAGTTGCCAATTGAAAAGGTATCAGGGAAATGTAATTATTTGTTGGTTTCCCAACTCTGATTCTAGAAGGAGGATAGAGTGGAGATTGAAAGAGCCCATCTACTGAACAGACCATACTTTTCTACAAATAACCACTGTAGGTAGTTTCTTGTGTATCCTTCTAGATATTTTTTTAGTGCATATATAAGCATATGTGAAAATGTTATTACTATTATTCATGAGCATTAGCTTACTATATAGTATTCTGAACCTTGGTCTTTTTATTTAACATTTTATCTTGGGAGAGCTTTCCATATCATGACATGTAGAAACATTTTTTTCTTTCAACAACTGTAATGTGTTCCACTATATGGATTACAAAATGTTTAAAATTGAAACAGTCTAATACAATTTGATAGAAATCCTGGTGGCGCAATGGTTAAACGTTTAACTGCTACCTGAAAGGTCAGCAGTTTGAACCTACCAGTTCCTCCTCAGGTGAAAAGACCTGGCGGTCTGGTCCCATGAAGATTACATCCTAGGAAACTCTGTAAGACAGTTCTACTCTGTCTAGTAGGGTCACTATGAGTTGGAATGGACTCAACCACATATAACAACAATACAATCTGACTTACATGGTCATTGTAATTTATTGGCACATATAAAATGTAATACAGTTGTGAAATGTTTGCTTCCTGCCTCCTGTGTGCTTGGGTCTTGTATATGTTATCTTAACTTTCACTGTACCCCAGTGTACTGGGTATCCTTCCTCCACTTGACATGCATACCCAGGCTGTTAAAAATTAATTTGATTGTTCATAGACTGAGGAGTAGTCAAGTTGGGATTTGAACCCCCAAGCCTATTTTTCTCCATAATCTGTGATTTGGCACTATTACATGGAGTCCTTAAATGGCAAGCCTTTATTTAGTACTTTGGCAACCTGCTTCTTTGATAGGAGGTTTGAAAGTGTCCCATTTTGGGTATTTTGGGTGAATATTAAAGGTGTTTCAATTTTCTTTTCTGACTCAGGTATCCAGCTCACATAGAAGACATTGACTACGAAGAAGGAAAAGTACTCATCCATTTCAAGCGCTGGAATCATCGTTATGATGAGTGGTTCTGCTGGGACAGTCCTTATTTACGTCCTTTAGAAAAAATACAACTGAGGAAAGAGGGCTTACATGAAGAAGAAGGATCTTCTGTAAGTAACAAATCTGGAAAGTTCAGTAATGAGCTGGGTCAGCCATTGGGCATTTTGTGTTCCAGCCCTTCATCTTCAGTGTGAAATTGGGTAGTAGCTGGTGACCAACCCTCATTTAGGCCTGTAGTCATTCATACCTGGGTCTCTTGAGGAATCTCAGTGTTCATTTATTCAAATGTGATTGATGTGACAGCTCAAAAATTAATTTGGTCGAAACTACCAAATTGATGGTGGATGAAGACCTTGTCTCTCTTTTACATCATTGTATCCCCAGCCCACAGAACATTTCCTTGCACGTAGTAGGTCTTCAGTAAATATTTGTTGAATAAATGATGATTGAATTCTAGATTCACAGTACCATGATCTTGCTAGCACTGCTGTCTGATCATTTATTAAGCAATCATTCCACGTGGGACACTTGGCTAGCCTCATATTTAAGATCTTTTATAAGCCTCCAAAGAGCTAGGAATTGAGTGGATGTATTCCCATTTTCTAAATTTTATCACTATGCCTGAAGCTTTTACTGACTTCCTAACGAAGTATGAATTTTGAGTTTTTTAAAGAAGCATTGAAACATACGTAGAAGTCCTGTGGCCTTTAGATCTGATCAGCCCTGGATTCTGTCATCCATGTTAACCCTGGCTCCTACTGGATTCTCCTCAGCCAATTTAGGATGAAGTTTAAAATGTTTGTCTCTTCTCAGCCTTGATTGTTCAGTGTTAATTCTACAAAATTTATCAATGCCAACTATGTTCTATAGGGTGCTGGGAAAGCAGTATTAAATACTCAAGGTGAATGGGTGCTTCCCTTGTCTGAAGGTCCTTTAGAAATGAGTGGTATTAAGTGGCATTAATGCTGCTTGCCTCAAGAAATAGTTTTCATTTCTTTTAGCTTGTATCTGGGTGTGTTTCCTAGTAGTCCTGGGCTCCTAGACTTGCTTTGTTTTCCGTCCACGTTCTTGACAGGGTAAAATTGTCAGTGCTGTGCTGCATCTGCCCAGACCTTCCTGGCCAAATAAAGACTTGTGTCCCGGCCCTTCCAGTGCTGAACAGCAGAAACATCTGTCTCTATCCCAGCAGCCATCTCCCCTTCCCACTCCCATGTCACCCCCAGCTCTGCTGTAAGTTCTGATCATTGTGTGTCCAATAAAAGTATATTGGTAACAAGATCTTTTTTTTTTTAATGTTTTTTAGGAATTTCAAATAAATGAGCAGGTCCTTGCTTGCTGGTCTGATTGTCGTTTTTACCCAGCCAAAGTCACTGCTGTTAACAAGGATGGTAAGGCATTTGAGTTGTAGTTGTTTTCACTCAAGACTTAGGGGGAATTGGTAATATTAGAATTTGGTAGTATATTTTCAGTATGTATATATTATCTAGGAATCTTCTCTTATTTAATCAGTATGTCAGGAGTTAGAGGAGATTATAACTGGAGATAAATCTGTGTAAAAGGGGCTCTTTGCCCCTAACTTTTTTTTTTTTTTTTAAATTGTGATTTGGGTGAAAGTTTACAGAGCAAATTCACTTTCCATACAGCAGTTCACATATACTTTGTCTCATGACATTGAACACAATTTACCACAATGCAACAGCTCCCCTCCTACTTCCTCCCTATAGTTACCTCTTCCCTGTGTCCATCCCTCCATGCACTCCTGTCCCCTGAGCTGTCTCCCTGTGTATAAGCAGCCCTTCTTTCTCCCACGATTATTCTCTCCAAGGAGTGTATCTACCTCAGGGAAATGTTCAACTCATTTACCTGTCTGTTGTTGGCTGGAAGCCACAGGCGTGGTTTCAATTCCAGACGTGAAGGGCAGCTAGGGGCCATAGTCTCAGTGGTTCCTCCAGGCTCTATTGGACCAGGAAACCTGGTCCCTCCCCCCTTTTTTTTTCTCCAAATGATTTTGAGTTTTGTTCCACATTGTTCTCCCTCTCTATCTAGGATCTCCTTCATAGATTCCCTTCCAAGTGGTTGACATTGGTAGGCAGGCACCATCTAGTTCTTCTGGTCTCATAGTCGTATAGGCTGAAGATCAGATGGTGTACCAATCGCTAGGACTAATTGTTTCCATGATTTTTTGTTTTTTTTCATTCTTCTTTGCCCTGGATGAGGAGAGACCATCGTTGCATCTAGATGGCAGCTTGCAAGCTTTTAAGACCCTAGTTGCTACTCACCAAAGTAGGAGGTGGAATAATGTTTTGTGTACTATGTTATGCCAGTTGAGCTTGATTTCCCCTGAGACTATGGTCCCGAGCCCACAGGTTCAACTACTCGGTCCCTCTTGGTAGCTGGCTATGACCAAGCAGTGACTACAACCTTGCCCCTTGTCAGCTCTCCTATACACCTGGGAATTCAGATCATACACATAAACTTATAGGACCATTGTCTGCCAACCCTATACATGTTCTTGGGTACACTCCCTGCTTCATAGAGATACTTCCTAGTTCAGCCTATCCAATCGTCTATCCACCTGTATACCCATGTTTGCCTTCACTGACAATGCAGTACTGTGTGTTTGCCCCTAACTTTGAGTTGTTGTCTAAGTCAGAAACCGTTTATCTGTCACTCTGCTGTGAAATGTACAGGTTCTTGTTGTGTAGAAGTTCCTAATATAAGTGATGAAGTAAGTTACTAATTTGTGAATAACCTAGAAATGAACGCTAACAAACATTTCTTAAAAATGTGCTTAGTGGATGCATGGTGATTGAGGATGCTTTGTGACATCAGAGCTGTTAGTGAAGTTACAGCACTGAGTGGGGATGGTTTGCTGGCTTTTAGAGTGTGGGAGGATACAGGACAGGAAACTTGACCCAAAGAGGCTTATTTTGCTAGTATTAAAACTGGTGGGGGGCCATAAGGACACTATATATGGTCAGAATGCTGACAGAGAATAGATTCTTGGGCCTAAAGTGATACTTTTTTTAAAAGCGTTTTCTACCAGGACATTTGTGGTATGTCCCTGACCTCTGAAGTGAGTGAGTGTTCAGGGTAAATCAGACCTTTTGGTGTCACTATTGGGGTGACCACGAGGCCAGATTGACTTTTCATCTGGTAAAGTAATTTATGTATTTTATTCAGTATTGTGCCCAGTGCTGGATTTTTTGCTATCTAAGAAGTTTTGGCTTTGAACTGGAAATTAAGTCTGAGAGTAGGCTGTGTTGAATGAGTCAAAACTGAACATATATTTGCAGGTAGTAGAAATTTTAGTTTCTCTGTTGGTGTATTCATTCCAGTCCCCCACCCTGCCAGCTGTTAGACCAGTTAGATATCCTAGATGTGGGTTAACCTTGAAACACAATTCTGTTGGCTCAGGCTTCCAAACCAAGCTTGTGTCTTCTAATTTGTCCAAGCAGTTACTGTTCCTATAGTTTATGGTTGATTATAAGTTTTTTTGGTTGGCCCCTTGTTTCCCTAAATTACTTTTACAAGCTTGTGTTCAAAATAAAATCCTATTATTATTTTTCATATGTATCACATTAACCTAAAAAAACTGATTTGAAGGGAAAGCATACGCAACTGACTCAAATCCTTTTAGTAAAAGACATAGTTTACTTTTTCAAATTGTAATTTTCAAGATTAATCATTCTTTCTGTCCTTACTGGCTTTTAAAATCATGTGATATATATAGGTGTTTTTCACATACATAGATATGTGCCTGAAAAGTCTGTTAGGTTGATTTATGCTGATGGAATCATATTTGCCCCTTTAATAATATGCATTTGAGGTATGTTCTTTTGGAGGAAATGGCTACCTTTTCGACCAAATCAAAGTTCCAGGTAGTAACATGGGTGACTTCATAGCTAAAAGAGGTAGCAGAAACGAGGGGGTATTTCCCTCATCCAGTGATACCCCAGAGTCCAGTGGGGACAGGAATGGAAGGAAGGAGATTAATTGAGGAGATATCAAAGCAGATTGAGGAAGAAGAGTTGTGGGAGTGCTGGGAGCTGACTGATAGCGGGGTGTAGGGGGATGTCTGGTGGAGGCAATAAAAGCTTAGGAACTGCTATTTACATATAAAGTCTTCAGAGCCCAAGCTTGTCATCATGGATTTAGGGGAAGGAAAAAAAAAAAGACTAGTTCAAGGCAGAATGGAGCAGGTGCTGAAATAGAGCTGCTGCATCAGCCACCAGGAGGAGGCAGGAGCAGGATGGTGCAGATAAGTCATCCAGGTCAAAGGAGCTCCTGTCTGCAGTTACTGGGGTTTGTGTTGGGGGTAGGGTCTAAAGCTTTTTGAAATCATCATTTAAGGACTATAAGTAATTGACCACATTATTGGCCATAGTTAATTAGGGTTTTTAAATCTTTTTAAACTGAGGCAACCAAAGCTTTGCTTGCAGGGTGTTTCAGAAAGTCATTTCAGTTATGTTTTCCCCATGAGCTAAAATTAGAGAGGGAAGAGTCATTTTCCCGCCTAATCCATTGGTTCTGTGAGGTCAGAATTCTGTCTAGTGAAACCGAATTTTAGTTAATTGAAAGTAAGTGGGAGATTTCTGCCCAAACCTGTTTTCCTAACATTCTTGGATATGAAATCCTGTATTATGTTGCTGCTATTACTCACTCTTGAGACTTGTTGGAAGGGGAGGAGAAATCCTGAAATGGAAAATTAGTGGAACAAGTTGGGTGGTATTAATGCTACATTGTGGAATGTGCTAGAAAGCTAGGCTTTGTGGGAGTGCTGATCTTTGCCTCATTTTGAGAGGACAGTATTCTTTAGGTGATGTCTTTAGGGTTAGATTTTATGCATAGGAGCCAGTGGGCAGTTTCTACTTCATCATGATTCATTCTAGGATTTGCAGGATGGGTGCTATCATGCTGGACTCTTTTTACACTTTCCCTGGTATTTTCTGCCCTGACTCAATTTCATCTGTGTGTAACAGGGGCCACTACAGTTTAATGGGATTGTGAAGTGAAGCTCTGGTGGCAAGGTGTCCCCTTTATTTCCTATAGAAGTCATTTTTGTCTTGTTAGTCCTAGGAGGAGGCCAGGGGTACAATGAAGACTCAACTGGTAGATTGTTCTGAAGGCTTGGTTTGATTTTTTTGGCCACTCTTAATATCCTTAGTGGTTTTGCTGAGGCTAAGAATTGACTGAGCAGGCAGGTTGCGTGGAGGCTCTAGCCAGAGTTGGGGAGCAGTGGGGAATCTCCATGATTAATCCCCAACTTTTTACCACTGTGTTGAGTTGATTCTAACTCATAGCAACCCTATGGGGCAGAAGGGTTTCTAAGGCTGTAAATCTTTATGGAAACAGACTGCCCCATCTTTCTCCCATAGAACTGCTGGTGTGCTAACCTTTTGGTTAGCAGCTAAGCACTTTGACCACTGCACAACCAGGGTTCCTGATGTATAACTAAACAGTAACTTTACAGCATCTTAAAGGAGTTAGTTACAATTTACTTGGGAAATAGGGAGGGGGCAGTGTTAGATTATTTACCCCTTTTTACCTGGAGTGGCTCTTTGAGAGTGGAAGTTAAGCATCATTTCGTGTGAAGGTAGCCACACCTGGGAGCCTTGTTAGCCCCTCAGTCAGTGTGGTGTAAAAGACAAGAGGTTCTGCTTTCAGGGGGTCTTTGTTTGGAAGCTGTCTCTGGTGAGTTCACCTCAGCTGTTTGCTGGGACTGTGTAGCCCCCCTTTTTAATATGGGGATGGCAGAGCCACTTGTCTGTCAGGGCCACTTGTCTGTCAGGGCTCTGGGTCCCCTCTCTGCTCTGCAGAGCATTCTCTCTAGGGATACTAAAAGTAGTTTCCTTGATCTGTGGTTCTTGATCATAAGTGAGCAGGTGAGCCAGGTCAGTCCTTCTTAAAAATATGCACATTTTTCAGTCTGACATTTTGGGCTGGTGCCTAAAGTCTGTATTTATAACAAGAGATTCTAAGGAAATGGTTTTATTTCTAGACTCTCTGGTTAAAGCAGTTCCTGTTTTTTGTTTTCTTCATGCTGTAACTGATCGTACGTTTGAAGTGTGGAGGGAGGTTGGCACCATGTGAAAAGCTTTAAACGGCTGTGCACAGGGATAAAAGGAGGATTTAGGTCCACACATGCAGGTGCTAGCTTGATTCTTATATTCTGTGTCTGAGGTTGGGGAGGAGTTGGTGCTTCCCTTTTGCAGTGACTTGGTGGATAATAATAATTAGAATCACATATTGATTTCTTGCTCTATGACAGGCCTTGTGTTAGGCAATTTCCATCTCTTTATTTCATTTAGTCTTCACACAGACATGCAAAGGTTATTGCTAACAACCTCATTCTCATTTTACAGAGGAGGAACTAAGTTCACAGGGGAAACTAATGTGCTGTGGTTACAGAGCTCTTAATGGGAGAGTTGGGATCTAAACAGAGGGTTGTCGGGCTCAGTGCTCCTGAACTGCTGTTCTCATAGTCCCAGGCTGTCTCTGGAGAGAGGGAGGACATTCAGAGTTTTCCTAAGGTAGGTGGAATTGTGAATTAGGGCCAGATGTCAGTGTTGGGGAGGGAAAAGTACCTGATGTAAGGCTATGGTAGATGTAGGTGGTCTTCTCTTTCTAGAACCTGGTGGTGTCATGAGAGCCCCTAGTGGGGAGACACTTCTGGTTCCAGCCCCTGCTGGGTAATTGCAGGTAATTCTGCCTTCACTCTGGAATCATTTCAGCAGTTAGAAACTGAAGAAGAATTGGAATAGATGCACATTTTAGAAATTGTTGCCCACAAAACTGAGCCCACTATGTAAGGTTGCTAAAAAGGAAAAACTTAATGGAGGGAAAAGTGTGCTTGCAAGCATGTGGGATAAAAGACTCTAGAGTCAGAGTTAAGGAGCTTTGGTGGCGTAGTGCCTAAGGCATTTGACTGCTAAGCAGAAGGTTGGTGGTTCAAACCTACCAGCCACTCCACAGAAGGAAGACTGGGCAATCTACTTCTGTAAAGATTTATCACCTCAGAAACCCAAAGGCTTTTTTTTTTTTTCCTGAGTTGGAGTTGTTTTTTTTTTAGAGTCAGAGTTGTGGTAAATTATAAGAGCAAGAGAAATGTGTTCCATTTAAACTCACCTGTGTATCCCTGTTTGCTTGGCTCTGGAGAATATCAGCTGATTAGGCATTTCCTGTTCTGTTCTTCTTGCTCCCTTCTGCTATTGCTATCTGCTCACAGACACACAGATGCTGAGTTCTTAACCCTCAGAGGGACAAGGCCGGGAAGCTTGGTTTCGCCTGTGGGCATGGATAATGGGGGACAAAAGTTAGAGGGGATGGGGCCCCTTTAGGGAGCCTGAAGCAGGTAGCCCCTGTGTCAAGTTAGAGATAAAACAGATTGTACTTACTTTGTGTTCTGTTGTTCACATATTATTTGTTAGATTTGTTTGATCAGTGAGAGAGAAACTGATAATAAAGGAGAGCTCTATTATCAGTCATCCATGGGAGGATTCATGGAAAGAGTTTCTTGTAAACCGTACATGAAACCATTAGAGTAGATTTGTGGCTTCTGTCCAGAAGTGGACTGAGGCCACTGTTGTGGAGCATGTCTTTGTTTTTTCTAATTTATTGAAACCCAGGTTAGGCTGCATTTAGATAATCAAGGGAGAAAGTTTCAAGATGATGCTTTGTAGTCCTTTGGAAATAAAAGGGTCAGGACCAGGATATTGCTATCGAAGGACAGTGGTCTCTGAGCATCTTTAGCCGTATAATTTGTGTCATTTCAGAGTGGCCAGTAGTGCTCTGGTCTGTGGTTTAAACTTAAGCTAAGGGGTTTGGGAATTGGGCAGGTTGGGGTGGTGGGAGAAGAATTGGTCAGAGGCAGCAGACAGGCTTGGGTTCTAATACTAGCTCTGTCTTAGACCTTGGAACTGGGGCAGAGCCCTGTGCCTACAGGCCTCCTTCTGAGCCTGTCATCGGGAGTAAGCTTCAAAAATTTACCTCAGCTAGTTGAAAATGTTGGACTGTGGAGTAGCATTGTTTACTGTCTTTTTAGATAATGTCTGTAAAAATGACAACTTTCATTTTGATGTAACTGATGCTGAAATTCTTTTGTTGGTAAAATAGTTGAAAGTATAGGCTTGGTTGGCTGATGAGTACTTAATGTTTGAATTCCATGATTCTTAAAGCTCCTATCCCCCACCCTCATCCTCAGGCTGGCCAGAGCTGCTCCGTGGTTGTTTGGAAAGTGTCTGTTTAGAATTCCACAGCATTGCTTATCATTATTTCTTTGCTTGCTGACAATAAAGGCAGGGAAAGACAGGAACCCCGGCCTTTATTGTAACTACTAACAAGTCAGTGCTGAGATGCCTTATGCTGAATTGCTTATGTTTTCATCCCTAGACTTCCTTTATTATATTATAACTTGCCTTCTAATTGCTGGTGTTCTAACCAACAGGGCATAACTGTATATCCGTATATTTTGTTTGCTAGCCAGTTTTCTTTGTGCTTTGATGATGCTTGGGACAAATAATCACCTTCCTTTTGTAATTACCAGGAGTAAATGTCAGTAGGTAATTCTGTGGTGGTGGTTCTCACACTTTATTGTGCTTTGAATCACCTGGTTGTTGTCAGTTGCCATTGACTTGGCTCAGATGCATAGTGACCTTATGCAGAAACATTGCCTGGTTTTGCATCATCTTCATGATCCTTGAGTTCATTGTTGTGGCCACTGTGTACTTTGAGTGCCTTCCAACCTAGAGGGCTCATCTTCTAGCACTAGATTAGACAATATTTTGTTGTGATCCATAGGGTTTTCATTGGCTGATTTTTAGAAGTAGATTACCAGGCTTTCCCTCCAAGTTGGTCTTAGTTTGGAAGCTTTGCTGAAACCTGTCTTCTATGGGTGACCCTGATGGTATTTGAATGAAATACCAGTGGCATAGCTTCCATCATAATAGCATGCAAGCCACCAATGTGTGGGTGGTGGAAATTACCTGGAGGACCTGTTAAAACACCCATTTCTGTGTCCTGCTCCCAGAGTTTCTGATTCAGTATGTATGAGGTGGGGTAGGTGACTTGTATTTCTAACAAGTTCTCAGCAATTGCTGATGCTGCTGTTCAGTGGACCACAGTTTGAGAAGCCCTGGCCTACCATGAAGCAGGCACCGTGTGAGAAGAAACTGGTATGAGATACGGTCTCTCACATTGAGAAGCTTGCCTTTGAGATGAAATCAGAACTTACATTAAGGTAGACCTAAGTGTATAAGGGTCTGTGGGCCAGGTACCAAATGAGTCTTTGAAAAATTCGAGCAGGGAGAAATCTCCAGTAGCTGGGAAGTCAGGAAGCTCTTATAGAACTTTGTAGTTACTTAAGTCAGGAAGCTCTTATAGAACTTTGTAGTTACTTAAGCGGGGTGCTTAAGGACTGAGAAGATTTGGGTAAGCCAAGAAGATGAGGGCTGCGTTCAGCTTTTATCCATGCAGGAAAACACTTTTGATAAAAATGTGGAGGTGGAAATGTCACAAGGCATCTTCAGTGGATAGCAAGTAGCTAATGATTTTTGAGTTGATGGATATTGTATGTTGGTCATTAGAAATAAGGTTTGGAAAATAATTGCATTCGTCTGCCCCTGGCCCTTCAGAATTTTTTTCCTTCTAATGTTGGGTGGGAAATTGACTCTGAAAATGAAACATCTGTTCACTGGTAATCTTGGCAAGATTATAGCATTGACCCTTTGTCCCCAGGACAAAAATAATATACAGAATGTAGATGGGTTCTAATATGCAAAAATGAAAAGTATTAGTTTCCATGCAGCTAATGATAACTTTTGTAATTGTATGCCTTATTTGAGAAGATAAGATTATTTGGTTATCAACTCCCGTTTTCTAGCGGGGAGCAATCCTTGTTAAATTTTTTTTTACATTTTGGTAAATATATATATAAGAAGATACTGACCATTTCACTTGTTGAACATTTTTTTTCTAATGGGATAAAACTGATACTGTAGAAAGTAATATTGTTAATGTTTTGGTAAAATCTTTATTTTTAAATATTAATATGTGAACATAATTCATATGGATTTTGAAATTAATGTGACCTTCCTCTAAAAATATGATGCCTTAGTAGAATGGTTATGTTTCTTTTAAAATTTAAAAGATATCATTACCCACAAGTCCAGAAAATAAAAATTGAATTATAAAAATAATTCACCAAGGAATAAGTAAGTCTGCATTTTCTTTACTTTCTTTTTTTTATTGTTCTTAGTCTAAATTCACTGCTGTTTTATTTTTTTCCATTTCAATGAGGCATCATAAAATGAGTTATTTTTTTGATCTGTGTAGATAAAAGGAAAACTTACTGTGTAACATTGACTAAGAAATGAAAGCAAGTGTAAGTAAGCAGAATGTGATCCTTAACTTCCTTATGTTTATTATGTGGTTGGAGTGTCCTTCTGTTTTTACTTTGAAAAGCTGCTGTTTTCATGAAACTGCAAGTTAAAATCATGATATCTTCTTGAATTTTAGGTACTTACACTGTGAAATTTTATGATGGAGTAGTTCAGACTGTCAAACATATTCATGTCAAAGCTTTTTCCAAAGATCAGGTGAGAAACGTGGTTTTGCTTTGTGGTATGAATAATGCTAACATTGCAGTTTTGTTTCTCAAATAAAGACATTGCATTTGCTAATGATGGCAAAAATCTTACTTCTTCCATCTAACACAGTTTGACCAGAAAATAACACACAGGTTTTCAGAAATTGTAAATATTTGCCTTTTCCTTTTCACACAGATTCTCTTTTTCCAAAAGTGCCATGCTCTGCCCTCAGAATTGTCACTGACTGCAGAGAACTTGTGTAAATGTTTGAGGAGACCTAGCACATGTTTTTCTCCTCCTCTAGCTTTGCCCTTCAGCTCGGACCATGACCAGTTGGTTTACAGAGCTACTGTTTGACATGGATTTGACAGCCCCTTGCCCTAGTTGCCTCTGGGTTGAAAATATTGTATCCTTTTGTCCTAGTCATCGAGTGTACTTGCCCAAGCACGTGGCCTGATTTTTGATACTGGATATATGGTCCACACAGATACAGGATATCTAGAAATAATGCCTACTTTTTTAATGTTTTTGTCTGCCCCTCTCACCCTGCCCCTTTAGTCTTTGTTATGTATATATTTAAATGAAATAGTTGAGGGAAATACAGAGATCAAAATTTTAGACACTGGTGTCTTTAAAAATTCTGATTGTTACTGATGTCAGCTGTGGAGACAGCTAACACAAATTAATAAAACTCTTATCACTGAGACATTATAACTGATTACTTACCTTTTTGGATGGTATTGATATGACAGTATTTGGTGATGTTGTGTCTGGTTGTATCTTTTTGTGTGATGATCAAATGCTACTTGTCATAGATCTTAAAGTTCTTCTGTATATGCATTTAGCCATATATCATGACCCCTTGAAAAGTAGCCTCAAAAATATTTTTGCCATTTGTTGTTTTCCCTCTTCAGAAAGTAAAATTGTGAGGCTTTTGCCCCGAAGATGCTTATTTACCTTTTGATTATTTTCCCCTTAGCCATCTAAGGACCTGTATAGCACTCTAAAATGTTATTTGGCCTTAAATCTGGTAATTTTTGTGTTAGATCTGTGAGATGAATTAAGATAGATAGAGGCCTGTATTATGAACTTATCTAGAATTGTCAGCTATAGCCAGAATCTCCCCAAATGGAAGTCCAGGGCTCCAAATAACAAGCATTCAACTGTTTACTCATGCACGTTACTCAGTCAGTTGGTCAATGCCACTCATAGTGCTTTTGGTTTGAAGGGTAAGGCCTTACCCAGTGAGGATCTGTGGGTGCCTCAGTTCTCAATTCCCAGCTGCCTCTGAGTGTGTCTAATCACATCTTAGACCTGGCAGGTTGGCAAGCACAGACCCATAATTTCTTTCTTCCAAGAAGGTGTAGTCATTTTGCTAAATGACTTCTCAGGTCTCTCCAACCCTAAGAATCTAGGGTTCTGCTGTGGACACTCAAAAGAAAAACTTAATAAAATATGTCATGGGACATTTTTATGTTTTCTTTTTAATACCCTTTTTGTTTTTTCCTTTTTTCTTCTGTTAAACATGTCTTTGTGTGTGTGTGTATGTGTGTGTATTTTCAAAGCTGAAGTAATGTAGTACATATATACTACTATTGTATAACTTGTTCTTTTCTTTTTTAATAAAATAACATTTTCCAAAATTCCTTAATATTCTATGAGAATATGGCTGTTAATGGCTGTATACATAATCTAGGAGCTCTGGTAGCTTAGTGCCTAAGGCATTTGACTGCTAACCAGAAGGCTGGCGGTTCAAGCCCACTAGCCACTCCTCAGAAGGAAGATTGAGCAATCTACTTCAGTAGAGATACTGCCTTGGAAACCCAAGGGGAGGGGTCGCTGTGAGTCGGATCTGACTCGACAGCAGTGAGTTTTTTTTTTAAATACATAATCTGGCTATATACATAACCATACTTTGTGTAACTAATTCCGTGATGGTCCATCATTAAGGATATTTATACATTTGGGTGTATAAATCTAATGATTCTATTAGCAAATTCTACTTCTAGGAATTCTAGTTCAAAGGTATAAATTTTTCAGTCTTTTGACCCAAAATACCAAGACACTCCCCCACCCAGAAAGGTGGTTGCTGTTTATATTTCTAACAGCCGTGTCTGAGAGTGCCTGTTCTCAAACCTGGCTTCTTTCAAAATAGTTTTGGGGAATTAAAAACATAAATTCTCCTAGGCTGTAACCTCAGAGAATCTCCTCATTTGTTTTTCTGTATGGACAAATTAATCTTGTACTTGCTGTGTGGTTAGGCATTCCTACCTGCTTCTGGCAAAAGCCTGTGTGCCTCCAGTGTACTAGGTGCTGGGGATCCCATATGAACGTGATGTGGTGGTCCTTGTTCTTTTTGAGGTCTTGAAGAGAGACACGTACACAAATAAACCTAATTGTAGTTTTGGAAACTCCAGCGCTTTCAGAGCTGCCTTTGTTTTGAATCAATTACAGTAGGACACTAGATTTTAAGGATAAATTGTAAAGAAAGCAGTTTAGGAGGAAAGTAACCAAGAAACAGTATTTCTTTTTGATGGGAAAAAACTCAGATTAGCTTAGGTACATAGTAGGTGGCTTGTTGGACTGAACATAGCTGTTACCCAGTAAGGCAGCAGAGACTGGTTCTGGGCTGGAAATCTTTACAGCTTTCTTGTTCTCTCTCCATTTACCAGTTTGAGTTCTCTTCTATACAAGCTATCAGAATATGCTGGCAAACGGGGTCAGGCCTCTGAAAGGCCCTGAGCCTGTGTCATTGTGGAAGGGGGTATGAGAAGGATGGGGTGTGCATTTTCTTAGAACACCCCTGTCTAAATCAAAGAGTGCTTTCTAGAAAAGGTCCCTAGACCCTACATCTGTCCCCTTAGTTATTTTCTAGTGACTTATTAATAAGGAGATAACTCTGTCTCTGAAGGAATTGAACATGGTAGTTGTTTTCCTTAAGCTTAGGCTTGGTTCTCAAACCTCAAAGTGGTTATTTTCTGTGTTGCTTTGCATTATGTGATCTGGCATATGTCTTCCTTTAATTTCTTTGTCTGTCTTCATAACTTAGCAAAAAAAAAACTTCCTGATTTTATATTTGCAAGTAATCACAAAGTGTGTTTCATCGCTATTTTGCTCATTTTAGAATATTGTGGGTAATGCTAGGCCTAAAGAAACAGATCACAAAAGTCTTTCATCATCTCCTGATAAACGAGAGAAGTTTAAAGAACAGAGAAAAGCCACGGTCAATGTGAAGAAAGACAAAGAGGATAAAGCCATAAAAACAGAAAAGCGACCCAAGCAGCCTGATAAAGAAGGAAAACTAATTGGCTCTGAAAAAGGAAAGGTATCAGAGAAAAACCTTCCCAAGAACGAGAAGGAAGATAAGGAGAACATTTCGGAAAATGACAGGGAGTATTCTGGAGATGCCCAACTGGATAAGAAACCTGAAAATGACATTGTGAAGAATCCACAAGAAAACTTGAGGGAACCTAAAAGAAAACGAGGCAGACCCCCTTCCATAGCTCCTACTGGTGAGTTTCCCAAGTGGGCTCTGCAATGGGCAATGCGAGAGTGTTCTTCTGTGGCTGTTTGTGATTCTTTATAACTTCTGTACTTCAGTCCTTCATTTTTATGACTGACTTTGAATCGTCTTGCAATCTGAAAACAAGTCATGTCTGTGGAGCTGAATTTTAATTGAGTCATGTCACCAGATGAACATAAATTGGGAAGCGTGTCTATGACTAAGCTTCTAGGGTGGTAGATAACTATCCACTAGATACTTCAGCTTACATAATAAAACATAACCTCTTGAATCTTGAGTTTATGAATAAGCTAAGGTCTTTTGCTTGTGGTCATTCAAATGATCTCATTTTAAGTAGGTAATAGAACCTGGGATCAGGAAGTTTTTTTTTTTTTTTTTTTTTCCTTTTAGTAGTTTTATTTTGTTGTAGGAAATAATCATTTTAATGAGGCAGATATGAATGAAGAAAGGAGAGGTAAATAAGGTGTGAGCCTCCACTGTGAAGGAGGCGGTGCCAAAGGGTGCCCTAGGACTAGGGAGGCATGGGTGCATTTTGAAATTGAGTTCTCTGGAGAGTAGTTACTGACTGCAAATTTTCATAGTCTAAATAGAAAGCTGAGATGGCTAATTGGTAAGAGTCAACGTTACAAGGTATAGATTTAGGGAAGAATACAAGTTGAAATGTGTAATTCTTCTAGAATACCCAAGAATGATACACATCCTGAATTTCTTCCTGTGCCAAACACTAATTCTCCAGGTTTGTTCAGTGACTTAAAAGGTCTTTAGACTAGACACTGCCCAGGATCACGTGGCAGTGATCTTCAGGCATGCTTACTTATATATTTCTTGCCTTCCCCTCATTGGTTATAACTGGGTTTCACTCTTAATAGCTGAGCGTGCTGGAATTTTTTCTTTCCGTAGAGCCTAGACCTGCCCTGTCCAGTATGGTAGCCACTAGCCACATGTAGCTATTGACTGTTGAAATGTGGCTAGTCCAAATTGAGGTTTGCTGTAAATATAAAATACACAATGGATTTCAAATACTTAGCATTAAAATGATGTTTTTGGACGTATTGGGTTAAATAAAATATATATTTTAAATGATTTTCAGTTCTTAAAAAAATTTTTTAACATGACTACTAAAATTTTTTAAATTGAATGTGTGGCTTGCATTGGTGGCTTTCATTATATTTTTCTTGGACAGCCCTGGCCTAAATTCACTGGCTTTCTCAAAGAGGTTCTGGAAGAGAATTAGGCCCCAATGCCCAAGGCATCTATAATCTGTAATGAATTGACTTCTGTGCACTGAGAGTGGTATTAGTGATAACTACCCTTGGGAGAAGTGAGGCAATAACCTGTGTGTTCTGTATTGAGATGAGGAACCCCTGTTTAAAAGGGCTGGAGGTTTGAAAGCCCAGGGCAGTGCGCCATGTAGGATGAGTGAGAGGTGGGTAAAGTAGAAGAAGGGCACTTATGAAAGGAAAGGTGAAGAATGTAAACTGGCACTTTCTGACACGTCCCCAGCTCCCTTTACCACCTGCTGTTGAGTTGCTCTTACTCATGGCAGCCCCTCATGTGTCAGGGTGGAACTGTGCTCCACGGGGTTTTCAATGGCCAATTTTCTGGAAGTAGGACAGGCTGGGGCCTTTCTTCCAGGGCATCTCTGGGTTGACTCAAATCTCTAATCTTTGGTTAGCAGCCAAGTGCATTAACCGTTTGCACCACCTAAGGATTCCTCCAGCTTAGTTTAGGAAAGAGTATAAATGGGAATATGTATTGGCCCCATGACTTAACTCAGATTTAAAAAAAAAAAAAAAGGGTGGTGGTGGTGGTATTCAGTTTATTGCTTTTGTCTTACATAGGTGTAACATTTCATACTAGCTGGATAAGTCTAATAATAAAAAAGGGTGTGTTGTAAGCTTATTGCTAACAGTTGCCTGAGGAATTTGTTGAAAACATGATTCCAGCCCTGTCTCAGTGCTCCCATATCAGCAACTCTGGCTGGTGGGCCTGGGAATGGGAATTAATTGTTAACAAGTTTTGCATGTGATTCTTGTTGTAAAAAGAGTTTGGGAAGCATTTAACTTCTGTGTAGTCAGCCCTAGTTTATATATGGTATCAAAGGGAAGGTGGCTTGCCAAATATCCCACATGTATTTTAAATCCCCTTAAAAAATTACTTGGAATAAGGTCATTGACTTGGTAGAGCCTTGAGCTCCCTAGATTGAACAGCCTGATTGGAGCAGGATCTGAGCTATTTAGAGAAGGTTGTTTATATTTGTATTTAATTTGGAATGTGTATGATCTCCAAGTTCCCACCATTTGGAACAGAATAATGTTGGCACATTGGCAAGATTGGACAAGGGAAGAGCCAAGGAAGAGTTTAGCACTCTGGCCAGTTTTGCCTCCTCAGAACTTAGCCCTGTCTCTGGTTCTGCTGGTCGATGGCAGAATCTGAAGCTACGGCTCTTAGACGAGTCTTGTCTCTCCGTCCTGTTTTCTCTTTCCTCTCCCTTCTTCCTTTCCCTCTTTCTACCTCCCTTTCCTCAAATTCCTTACCTCTACTTTTCCCCCAAGCTTCCTCATTTCAGATTTCCTTTGTTCTCTTTTGCTCTTATCTTTTCTTAGTTTATAAAAAGGTGACTTTTTGTTCCTATCTTTCTGGACTGGGGAGAGCTTCTTAAGTGTTAGGTGTTAAAGAGTGAGTACTGTCCAAGGGTTTAGTGTCTGTACAGCTACGTTATGTCAGAGCTGGATTTGCTAGGGCTCAGCAGCCAGGTCTGGAACAAACAGCACAGTCTCGTGAGGTTTTTCTGGACTGTTTGTAAGAGGAACTAAATATTGACTTCCTTTTTGGTCCTGCAAATGTAGGACCAATGCCAGAGTATCTATTTTGCAAGTAGAGATTGGCAGCAGTAATGAAGTACTAGTCTCAGGGTATACATTTTAGGGATTCGCCTACATAGTGGATTTCTGGATTATTGGCTGAGGTCAGATTTTGATGAGAAGATTTGAAGGTGATAAAAATGACTTGATAGTTTTTCTGTTTCAGTCTTGTTATATTGCCCTTGTACTTTTATATTTTAAAACAATTATGTTGAGTGTGGTGTTTTAAAGAGAAGGTTTTAGGAGAGAAGTGTGTGACTGGAGCTGGGTCATAGGAGAGACTGAACAAAAGGGATTGAGTTGATGTCCAGGGTCTTAGTATCTCCCATAAGGAAGTAATTACTCATGCATTTCACTTTTTTGTGTTTTTTTTCCTCCTTTTGTCTTAAGTAAGAAAGTTCTTTTGAGGGTCTGTTTATCATGCGTAGATATCTGTATATATGTATGCTTTCATATATAAAAAATGAGAGATTGGACCACTAAGAAGTTACATATCTTTTTGTGTGATTTTTGTATACATTGTAGCTGTGGATGCAAACTCTCAAACTTTGCAACCAATCACATTGGAATTGAGAAGACGGAAAATATCAAAAGGAAATGCAGTCCCATTAAAACGTCCTCGACTTGACAAAAATTCATGTGAGTCTGTAGTTTGTGTTTGTGGCTAGAACTTGACATTCATTAAGTCTATTACCATCCACTTGATTCTGACTCATGGCAATCCCATGTGTTATATAGTAGAACTGCTCCATAGGGTTTCCTTGTCCGTGATGCTTTTGTAAAAGCATATTGCCAGGTCTTTTCTTCTGCAGTGCCACTAAGTTGGTTTGAACCACCAACTTTTAGGTTATAATTGAACACAAACCATTTGTGCCAGTCAGCCTCCCTTCTATCCATGCTGTGTCTTATTGCCTTTAGGCTCAAATGCTTATCTGTAATTACAGGAGCCAATGTGAGTGGGATCCCAGAGTACAGACTGTATTCATGTTGAGTTCAGTGGTGTCATTTCTGTACCCATAAATTGTACATTTGAGTTGCATTCCACTGGAAATTTAATAGCTTAGGAGGAGGTGGATTTCATATGCTTAGTGAAACTTTAAAAATACTATTTATTTATTTATTTTTAAATACTCTTTTGGCTCCAAAAAGGATTTATAATGGCTCTGAGTAAAGCTCTTATTAAGCCTTATTGCCTTTGGAAGTGAGTACATAGACTTTTTGTTGGGAAGCTTCAAAATATTAGTTAATTGCCAGGATTGGGATATGTATGACCTTGGCACATACTTTCAGGCCATGAATCCTGGAAGAAATAAAATTCTGCCCTGGGAGAGTGACCGAGATCTTACTTAAAACTATAAGAAAAGATGCTTCCCTTTGTAGTGGTCTGACATTCTAGAAGTTTCTTTGCAAAACTGTTACAGAGCAGCAGCCAGAAATCTGTTGTGGCAGAGTTTCTTCTTGCTGGTCTCTTGACTACAACTCTCTTTATGGTTTATAGCCCAAGAAAAGTCAAAAAACTACTCAGAAAATACTGACAAAGATTTATCAAGGAGACGGTCCTCCAGGCTGTCCACAAATGGGACCCATGAGATCCTAGATCCTGACTTGGTCGTATCAGGTTTGGTTAATACAGTTGATACGGATCCTTTGCAAGATACATCATCTAGTGCCAAGGAATCTGAAGAAGGTGAGTCAGTGTCTATTCTGGAATTGTCTTCTCAACCTGGTACCTGTCTAGTGAGAACCATTCTAAATCATTGTGCACTGCCTTCCACAGTATGAGATGGTCTTGAAATCAAGTATTGAATGGCTGCAGTGGTTTTGTAATATACTGTTCTTCACTGATTCACTAGATAAACTTTCTGTATGTATTTGTGATTGGTTTTGCTGATACATCTCTGAATGTTGGGTTGGAGGCCTAATGCTTGACAAGTCCTTCTCTTTCTCATGCTCTGGTGCCATCTCATTCTGGGCCTGTGCCTTTTTGCCAACATTTCCAGCAATTCCTCCCCTCATGTAGCTTCTTAGTAGCCTTTGCCTTTGCTCACATCCCTGGTTGTATGTGCTGGTACCTGTGAATGCATGTTAGACTTCCCCTAAAACACCCTTGGCTTTCTTAGTCTGTTGTGCAACTCTTGATTCCCAAATTTCACACGTGTATTTGTTCCTCAAAGTGTCTTTTTTCTTGTAGGTCAGTTGAAATCTTCTTTGGAAGCTGCACAGGTCTCATCTGCACTAATTTGCCACTCTTTTGGGGATGGACTGGGGGCTGCAGGTTTGGAATTGAACTGCAAGTCAATGGGAGAAAACGCTGTGAAAACGGAACCGGCCTCTTCCCTTGCCGAATTACAGGAGATTTCGACTATTACAGGTTTGTATTTAGAGTTAATAATTCTCTTCTTATGTATACTTTTGCTTTTGGTTTGATTATAAAGTAAAAAAAAAAAATTGATTTGTCTAATGTTTTTTCACCTTTTATCAATATTAGTAATACTCCCTTATTATTTTGATGTTGATATGCGCTAAAGTCCTTTCATTTCTGGTATTGGTAATTGGTGTTCTCTCTTGATGTATGACTGAGGATTTATCGGTTTTATGGATTGTTTCAAGAGCCAACTTCTTATTTGTTAATTTCTCTATTGTTTGTCTTTTTAAGATTCCATTGATTTCTTTTCTTATCCTAATTATTTTCTTCAATTTACTTTTTCTAGCCTCTTAAGGTGGGACCTTGCTTATGGATTTTTAAATCTTCTTTTCTACAGTGAGCGTTTAAAGTCAAGTTTCCCTCTAAGTACTGTTTTAGCTGCATGCTACAAATTTTGATATGTTGTCTTTTTCATTTTCATTCAATTCAAAATATCTTGTGATTTCTTTGTTCACCATGGGTTACTTAGAGGTATGTTGTTTCATTTCCAAATATTTGGATTTTATAGCTACCTTTATGTTACTGATTTCTAATGTAATTGCATTGTGGTCAGAGAATATACTCTGTAGGATTTCAGTCTTTTTATAATTTGTTGAGACTTATTTTATAGCCCAACGTAATGATCTGTCATGGTGAATGTTTCATATGCACTTGCATAGAATACATATTCTGCCATTATTGGTGTAACATTCCACTTCTTTTCAATTAAATCAAGGTAGCTGGTAGTGTTTTCTGAACTTTATCTCCATCGATTTTGTTTTGCGTTTAGTTCAATCAGTTACCAAGGTTATGATAGCCATGTTTATAAATTTGTCTGTTTCTTCCTTTGGGAGCTCTGGTGGTGTAGTGCCTAAGGCACTTGACTGCTAACCAGAAAGAAGGCTGGCGGTTCAAACCCACCAGCCACTCCTCGGAAGGAAGATGGGGCAATCTACTTCCATAGTGATACTGCCTCGGAAACCCAAGGAGGGGTTGCTATGAGTCAGGCCTGACTCGACGGCACATAACAGCAACAACATTTCTTCCTTTAATCCTGTCATTTTTGCTTCATGTTTTTTGAAATTCTGTTAGTAGATACATATATATTGATAACTGTTAGATCTTCTTGATGAATGGCCCCTTTTCATCAGTGTGTCTTTGGTAATACTCTGACTTGCATCTATTTTATCTAGTATTAATATCGGCACTTCAGTTTTCTTTTGCTTACTGTTTGCATGGTATATCTTCTTCTTCTTTCTTTTGATCTGTGCCTTTAAAGTGTGTGTCCAATAGTATATAGTGTGATGTGTACTCTAGTTTCAGTAAATGTAGTTGTTGATGTGCTTGATTTCAGGTTTATTTCCTTTTTTTTTTCTATACATATTACCTGTTTTTTTTCTCTTTTCCTACTTTCATGTTTTTTAGATTACTTGAATATTTTTTTAGAATTCCATTTAAATTTATCTATTAGATTATTGATGTACTTATTTTTTAGTGATTACCCTAGAGATTATGATATATATCCTTAGTTTTTCACACTTTACTTAGAGTTAATATTGAACCACTGCTCAAATAATTTCTTTTAGAAGAATCAGCACAAGGTTGGTCTTTATGAGGCAGAGGTTAAAGATGTCCCAAATGTCCAACTTGTCCACACTGCTGTATCACTCCATCATATCTCACATCAGCTCCTCCTCCCCTCAGTACTCAACTCATCTTGTTGTTATTTTTGTTATGTGTTCTGTATTTCACTTAACACCTCGTGTAATGGCTCCTCATGTGGTTGTGGAGGCTGACAAGTCCCAAATCTGTGGGTTAGGTATTGGTCTGGAGAATTGTCCTCACTAATGTGGTTGCAGGGGCTGACAGACCCAAATCGGCAGGTCAGATGACTGGCTGCTGTTTCAAGTCCCAAGAACTGGGGGTGAGATGATGATGAACCAGATGTAGGATCCAGAGCAAGAGAGTGAGCTTTGCCAGAGTATTTACATATATACCCTGAAGGGAACTATGGATGGTGACTTGAGCCACACCCTCCAGGAAGATGGGACTCAAGATATATCCCACCCTAATGCTGCCTCATTAATACAATGAACAGCTTACCACAAAATGGGACCATAAGCACAGGCATAGAGGCTGGGATTTACAATAATACATCAGAAAAAGGAGGATTATGGCTAGAAGGGCCATATTAAGCAATTCACTATACTTTAACCAGTCTATGTAAAATGTCTAGTTTCCTTTATTCCCCATCCTTTATGTTCTAGTGGTCACATGAATTATATCTATATATGCTATAAATCCTACAATACAGTATTATTTTTACTCTAAACAAAATTTTTAAACAAAAATATTTTATTTTAAAGAAAGAAAGACAGGAGGAGACCGGCAAGATGGCGGACTAGGCAGAAAGACTGCACAGACCCTCTTCAACAAAGAAAAGGGAAACCAATTAACACAGACACAGAATAATCCTGGACCCCTGAGCCTTGAAGGGAAGGATTTAGAAGTGGACTAAACCCCAACTAGCAGAAGAATTTGCGTGAAAATACCAAAAAAGGAGACAGACGGAGCTGCAGTCTGGCAGCGATCCTGACGGCACAGACAACTTGGGATTCCCGAGTGGTGGCAGGACCTAAGAATTAACCAAAAAATCAGCCCTGCTAGCCAGGGACTGCACGGAGGACTGTGCTGGGGAATAAACGGAGAAGGTGAAGAGAGAGGCGGGCTGAACTGTGGACTTTTGCTGGTCCAGAGGGCACCGCCATTTTGAAGCTTTAAAAGCGGCTTGACTATTTTGGATATTTAAAAAGATAGCGCTCTCGCAGATTCCTGGGGTTTAAGAACACGTTCTGCTTTCCAGCAACCCCAAGGACACTCCAGACCCCACAAGACTGAAAAGTTTTTTGATGGTTATTCAATTGTAATTTGTGTCTAACTGAGTGGGAGACAACAACAGTCCCCATAAGACACAATTACACCCACACCTCCTGTGACTTCACTTACTGAGCGACAGCCACTACCTCCTTCTCCACCAATGGGCCAATGATA